AGATATCCCGGAGCTCTTGTACGTCATTTTGCTTTAGGCTGATCGAGGCGTAGCTAACCAGCTCTGACACATAGCTGTCTTGAAGACTGTCTCCCTTGTCCTTCTGAGTCTTCTCGGACCATAGTCGTACCTCAGGGTTTTTAATCTCTTGTATTACAACACCTTTATCCATTAATTCAGATTATTTTGTGCGTAATGAACGTCTTTTTAGGGATCAATGGCCTCTTGTTATGATGCAATGCTAAAACAACACAAAGGCAAATGGTAGTAAAAAAATAAATGAAAATAAAATATTGTCCTAGGTTTTGGAATGTGGTTTTGGGGTAGGCTCTATTTCTTCGAAGTCTCCTGGTTTAGGTTCTAAAAACGGTACCGAGTTTCCTTGCTGGTGCCCCTTGGGCTTACCAGACCCTTAGTCCTAAACCCATCACAGGCTTGTGTGGACTAAGTTAAACTCGAGGGGACACTTCCCTATGTCTATGCGGAGAATAAATTCACACGAAACAAGGTATATGAATCCCGAGGGCTACTCGCTAGGCATATGCGGTGAATAAATTCACACGAATGCGTCGCTTTCACCCCACTTAAAGGGTTCGGAGCTCGGTATAGAGCCTTTGGATGAAAAGGTTTGGAAAACTGAAATCATTAGAAAACGGTCAGTCCAACTATTTACTCAAAAAAAAATATATAACCAAAAGTAAGTAATAAGGATCGAAATGTTACCTTAAAGTTCCAACTTACCCTTTTCATTAAAAAGACAACTGGAAATTACCTTAGCCTGACCCACTTACCTGTGTCCCCAGCGGAGTCGCCAAGTTGTCGCAACCGTCTTTCGGTTGGGCCCCGGAATTGGGCTTCGACTTGAAAAATGTAGATTGGAGTCGCCACCGATCATTTATTTAAAAATAAATGGGTTGATCGGATACCCTATTTCTTACCTGATCTGCGTCTTACCTGAGATGTGTCGGATTCGGGAATCGGTTACAGTCAAGGAAGGGCTAGCACCCTTGAACTGCCCTTTCGGTACTGTGTAATTTCCAGTTGTCTTTATAAAGAAAATTGAAAGTAAATTAAAAGGTAACGTAATCCAAATTATTTACCTTAGATTGATTTGAAAATATCTTTAAAAAGTCAAGAATCATGTTAAAAAGGTATTGAATAATGAAAAATGAAATAAAGGAAATAAAAAATAAGATAAGGTAAGGATAAATAAGAAATGGAATACCTACAATGGAATAGATGGAAACAAAATAAACAATGTCAAACATAAAGGAAATGAACAACATAAGAAAATAATAATGATGATGTACGTATAGTAAACAAATAGATGAATACCTGAATGAATTAAAAAAAGAAATAAAGAAAATAGAAATAAATGTAAGAGAAAATAATAGTACATATATCCATAATAATAATACATAGTTTTTAATGCAAAACAACAAAAAGATAGGATACGTACACATATAACGCTAAAGAAAACACTAGAAAATATATGTACATATATATAATTAAAATATAAAAAAAACTAATAAAACTAAGGGATGAAACGTTTATATATATAAATACATATGATAATTGTAACAAAAATAAAAAGTCATGAATAAGGGAGAAAAAATACATGTATATATAAAGTAATAATAAAAAATGGCTATATTAAAATTTAAAAAAAGGCAAAATAATAGTAACTGGACTAAATCGAAAGAAACCACGATTGAAGGTCGAATTTAAAAAATCGAGTTTAAAAAACTGGATTTGGGGTTAAAATTGAAACTTTCAAAACAGGAGGGTCAAAAACGCGATTTACCCTTTAAAACAACAGAAACACGCGGATCCCCTCATGATGGGTCGGGTTGCACGCGGATCTCCTGATGGGTTCAATATTTAAGCCAATAAAACATTTTAAAATTCATTCTAGCCTTAGTTGAAACCGAAGGCTCTCTCCCATTCCCTTCTTCCTCTGCCTTGTTCTTCAGACATGAAGAACAAGGGCCATGCGCCGCCGCCTGAGAATGGTGACCTCATGGGTCGTTCGCACCAAACACACAGGAGATACAACATGCAAGGTGAGGAAACCGAACAGACAAGGTAAAAGAAAAAAAAAAACTACCTCTTTTTATTGATTTTTTCGAACGTCTTTACAAGGGCTTGGACCTTCTGGCTATGTGTGTGTGGGTGGATGTACACAGTGATTTGATGTGAATCCAGTATCCAAAAAAATCCCTTTGTGTTAATACAAGCCTATTTATACTAAAATAAAAACCTTTTAGAACTACATGTTGAGTCCTAATGGAACTCTAATGCTTGTTGTTTTCCACATGCCGTTGTTGGTTGTTGCGAGAGCATGGAGACGTGAAGGATAAGAGGCCTTCGGTGTGGGGAGTCCTTGAGCGAAGCATGCGGCGCTGGATGGGGGAAACTGCTAGGGTTGCGCGTGTTGGGTCTGATACAAGCCTATTTATACTAAAATAAAAACCTAATTTAGAACTACATGTTGAGTCCAATGGAACTCTAATGCTTGTTGTTTTCCACATGCCGTTGTTGGTTTGTTGCAGAAGCATGGAGACGTGAAGGATAGAGGCCTTCGGTGTGGAGAGTCCTGAGCGAAGCATGCGGCGCTGGATGGGGGAAACTGCTAGGGTTGCGCGTGTTGGGTCTGACATAGAAACAAAACAAATGTAAATTGTTAGTTTACTAAATATAATATTTATACAATATATAATATATATATAACATATAAATATGTGTGATTTTAAAAAAAAAAACTACCTCTTTTTTATTGATTTTTTCGAACGTCTTTACAAGGGCTTGGACCTTCTTGGCTATTGTGTGTGGGTGGATGTTACACAGTGATTTTGTATGTGAATCCAGTATCCAAAAAAAATCCCCTTTGTTGTGTTAATTACAAGCCTATTTATACTAAAATAAAAACCTAATTTTAGACTACATGTTTGAGTCCTAATGGAACTCTAATGCTTTGTGGTTTTCCACATGCACGTTGTTGGTTTGTTGCCGAGAAGCATGGAGACGTGAAAAACCTAATTTTAGACTACATGTTTGAGTCCTAATGGAACTCTAATGCTTTGTTGTTTTCCACATGCACGTTGTTGGTTTGTTGCCGAGAAGCATGGAGACGTGAAGGATAAGAGGCCTTCGGTGTGGAGGAGTCCTTGAGCGAAGCATGCGGCGCTGGATGGGGGAAATGCTAGGGTTGCGCGTGTTGGGTCTGACATAGAAACAAAACAAATGTAAATTTGTTAGTTTACTAAAATAATAATATTTATACAATATATAATATATATATAACATATAAATATGTGTGATTTTAAAAAAAAAATGTGTCTACAATTATCCAATAACTTAAGTCTGGTACAAGCACTTCCAGAATCAAAACAAACAAAACTAATTACAGCCTACATACAAATAATCGGCTAACCTATACCCCAAGCATTACAAAGTTGAATATTAACATAATCAAAACGGTTAATTTTCTTTCCTCTGAGTTGGATCCCTACTATCTCTTTGATAGCTTTAAAGATATCTTCAGGTGGTCTGGAACATCCTTGAAAAAGGCGTTTGTTTCGTTCCTCCCAAACGGTATAGACAAAAGGGCACCACAAGATCTTAAGGATAGTGGTAAGCAGTGAATTTCCTGTCCAAAATTCACAAGCTTGAACAATCATGTCCTCCCAAGAACGAGAAGAATTTATCAACCTAGTATGCAGAATCACTTGATTCCATACATGAGAAGCAAAACAGCAGTAAAAAAACAAATGGTCTCTAGTTTCAATTGCTTGTTACAAAGGCAGCAGTTTGTATCATTAACAATTCTCATTCGTTGTAAACGAGCTCTAGTAGAAAGTCTATCTAACAAAGTCATCCATATAATCATACTATGTTTAGGAATATGTAAAGGATACCATACCAATTTATGCCAAGATGCCCTATCTCCTTTCTCTCTTATTTCCTCCCAAATAGATCGAATACTCAATGCTCCAGCAGAAAAAACAGCAGCAGCTTCTGTTCTGGATTTTAGGATGCGGTTTAAGCACCAGCTGTAGGAAGGATTATAGTCAATTTGCCAGAAATCACGATCCTTCATTAATAGCATAAATTCTTAGTTTGGATGCTATGCTGATTGCAGGGTCTACTGACACTGCCGGAACAAATGTGGATTACATAAAGAGCCTGCAAACGAGATCGGGGGAATTTAGGGAGAAGGAGGGTTGTCTAATGTGGAACGAAGAGATCTTACAAACGCACCGATCGTAGCAGTAAAATCAGGATTAACGAATCGGGTACGGCGATGGAGGTGGCTTTGACGACGGGAACGGACGACTGTCAGTAAACGTTTCATGAGACGATCCGCATATTTCATGAAGATGGAGGTGAAGTAGCGATCCGCATATTTCATGACACAATAAAATAAAATAAATAAATGAATTTTATTTAGTTAGTATTAAATATTTTTTAATAAATTAAGTTATTAACGTTTGGTTTTGATATTAATCCAACTTGAATCAATTTTGATCACCAATGGAAATGATAATATATCTCGTTTTAAATTAAGATAATAATAAATTTAATCCTACATATTATATATTTATCAATTGGATCTTAATTCCAAATAATTCAATAGAATCATCCTTTTTCATTTATAAAATTTATAAAATTATTTAAAATTAAATTAAATATCAAATTGATAATTTTTAAAATATTAAAAGTTAAATCTATTAAATTATTTTAAATTAAGGACAAATTAATAATATATATATAAATTTTGAAAACTAAAAATACTATCATATCAGAATATGTCATCTTCTCTTTTAATATTCAATGAAAAGTGATTAAAATAAAAATATAGCATTAGCGATTAATTATGGAGAAGAAATAATATGATGACTAAAATAGGAGGTAAGTAAAAAGTATGATGACCAATAATGTAGTTTACCCTATATAGTTTTTGGGATTGATTGAATGAGGTGAGGTCAACGAGAGGCGGTTGCCTATATTTCTGAAATTTAAAGTTCAAATATTAATGTTTCCTTCTTCAGTTCAATCAAACCGAGACGCCTGCAAGATTCCTCATGTCACTGCTACGCTCTTTCAAAGAAGCACTGAAACCCTGCAGTAAAAAACCTTCCTTTTCATCATCGTTTTCACAATCCTCGTTATCCCAAGAAGAGCCTGAACCAACCGTAATAAACCAGAGGAAACCCCCCAAATCCTCGCTTTCACGGCAGCTTCAACGCCTCGAACACGACTATTTCCCTTCAACGCAGGAATCCCATTACAAAAACCCTAAATTCCCATTGACCCAAGTCAAAAACAATGGTCATAATCAAGAAGAAGAAGAGGCTGAGGAGGAAGTTGTCAAAGAATTTGGGAGACCCGAATTAGGTCGGGTTCAGTTTGAGGATACGGGTCCTTATGAGCCGTTGGCATTGTCTTCCGATGGTGAATTCCCAATTATACAGGTCGTAATTTTACAATTTAATTCCTTTGAGAGTTGTAGCAGTGATTTAAAGTTACTATTTTTCTTTTGTTAATTGGTTGATTTTTATAGTCGTTGGTTATGGCAGGTGCCTGCATATATTAACTGCAGGTTGCTTGCCCATCAAAGAGAGGGAATCAAGTTTTTATACAGGCTGTACAAAAACAACCATGGGGGCATTCTTGGTGACGACATGTGAGTACTTATCCAACATTTTCACTCTCTGTGTCATTAGTAAATTGTATATTTAGTTTGTTTTCAGAGAATACTTATTATTAGTATGTTCATGGCCTGAATGCGTTTGCCTTTTCGATAAGTGAGGTGATTTTTATAGATTATTAGTAGATTATAGCATTTGAATGGAACCCAAGATTTGTTAAATTCTGTAACAATTATGATATGTTATGTTAAAAATATCTACTTGTGTTTATGTCATGAATGTGAGTGGTAGCATGAACCGAGAAATAAACATTTTTTGCAGAGGAATTTATAAGTGAAAACTTACAACACTTGATAACCATTTTAGGGTCCATTTCTATGTCATACATTGTTTTCTGGTGGTTCTTCTCTTTATTTCTTATTTTTCCGCCTCAACTTCTACTTTTTTGAAAACCAAGCCACTGGCTTTGGTGAGCCTTAGATTGTCTGTATTTGTCTAGGAGTGCCTTCTTTCAGTAGGAAGAACTTTCACCTTTCTAAAAAAAAATTGATGCAGGGGACTTGGCAAGACAATCCAGACAATCGCATTTCTCGCTGCTGTATATGGAAAAGATGAGGAATATGGCGACTCCAGACCAGTAAAGGAAAACCAGGTTGAACAAAAAGGACCTGTATTAATAATCTGTCCCACTTCTGTCATCCATAATTGGGAGTGTGAATTCTCCAAATGGGCACCCTTTAATGTTTCTATTTACCATGGGTCAAGCCGCGAATTAATTCTTGAGAAGCTACAAGCCAATGGAGTTGAAGTTCTGGTTACTAGTTTTGACACGTTCAGAATTCATGGCAATCTTTTGTCAGAGATCAATTGGGAGATTGTGATTGTTGATGAAGCACACCGCCTAAAAAATGAAAAATCAAAACTTTATATAGCATGTTTAGAGATTAAGACTTGCAGACGAATTGGTCTTACAGGAACCATCATGCAGAACAAAATTATGGAACTCTTTAACCTCTTTGACTGGGTTGCTCCTGGATCCTTGGGAACAAGGGAACATTTTCGGGAGTTTTATGATGAACCCCTCAAACATGGCCAGAGGTCAACTGCTCCTGAAAGATTTGTTCGGGTAGCTGATGAGCGTAAACAGCACCTGGCAGCAGTACTCCATAAATATATGCTACGAAGGACGAAAGAGGAGACTATTGGACAACATATGTTGGGAAAGGAAGATAATGTTGTATTTTGTGCCATGAGCCAATTGCAAAAACGGGTGTATCAGAGAATGTTGCAGCTGCCAGACATCCAATGTCTTGTAAACAAGGACCTGCCCTGTAGTTGTGGAAGCCCACTTAAACAAGGGGAATGTTGTAAGAGGACTGTGCCTGATGGAATTATATGGCCTTACCTTCATAGGGACATCCCAGAGGGTTGTGATTCATGCCCTTTCTGCCTTGTCCTTCCCTGCCTTGTCAAGCTGCAACAGGTCAATGACTTCCTCCTCCTGTCTCTTTTTGGCCCCCTCTCACAATTTTTGATGCTTGTCCTTAAGTATAACCTATTAGGTTCATTTAGGCACTCTAGAAAGATCTCCAATTCATTGTTTGAGAAGAGAACGCCTGCACATCTGTGCAATACAGGAACCCTTTGACTAAAAACATTTACCAGATATATAACTGATACATTTTCCTTCTAATTCCATTTATGCATGGTATGAGACTCCAGAAAGTTTTCTTTATTATCTCATGGATTTGTTCTTCTATAAGCTATACTATCACATTGATTTCAGATTGGAAATCATGAGCATTGCATTCCTCAAAACGTATACTGAATCATTATTAAAAAAAAATGTTTTGTGGCACGTTATATTGAAATTTAAGATTAGAAATCCCATATTTATCTCGAGCATTAGATATCAAAGAGAGTTTAGTTTGCATAAACTTTGAACATAAGTCTTGTTGCATTGTTGTGGATCTGTCTTGTGCTCACCTTTGGATCTGCATTGCAGATTAGCAATCACTTGGAGCTTATTAAGCCTAATCCAAGGGATGAACCGGAAAAACAAAGAAAAGATGCAGAATTTGCCTCTGCAGTCTTTGGTCCAGATATTGATATGGTGAGAGGGAATGGCCCAAGTAAGAGCTTTATGGATTTAAGTGATACTAGATATTGTGGCAAGATGAGGGCCTTGGAAAATTTAATGTCCTCATGGGCTTTGATGGGTGACAAAATCCTTCTTTTTAGCTACTCTGTCAGGTAATATTCGTATTTCATACTTCAGTGCTTAGTTTGGGTTGTCTGATTACTAGACCATGAAATCTGGACCTTTAGGGGCATAACTTGTGTGTTTACTCAATATACTAGCCAAATTCAAAACATTGTGAATTATTTCCTGATAGGCCAAAATTCTCATAATTTGCATGTATTTCCTGAAGATAATATTTGTCACTATATTTTTATTTAGCAGAAAATTGAAGATAACACTTCCCAATATCAATACTGGGAAAATAAATTTGTAATTTTTGTCTTTGATTGAATTAAATTGAATCAAGACCACTTGTCAAAATTGTTTCATGTACAATGTTGTGAAAAGTTGCAGAGACTGGAAACTCTTCTGATTTCAACATTTCATCTTCCAAAATTGAGAAAGAGATACCTTCAATTAGAAGTAATTTAATCTTCAATGAGGAATAGGCTAAAAGAATATCTGGCGTATGATAAGCATTAGAATATGAAAGGGACTTCTTTTTTTAATTTTTTTTATGGTACAAGTTAGCTATTTTATAGCAAAACTTGTTCATATAGTCGACAGGTAGGTTCTTGAAGATTGAAGTTTGAATGATTTATCATGCATCTATTCACTTGCTCCATTCCCTCCCCCCCTTTTTTTGCTTATTGCATTGAAAAACAATTGTCAGGATGCTCGATATATTGGAAAAGTTTCTTATACGAAAAGGCTTTTGCTTTTCAAGACTTGATGGATCTACTCCAACTAACATGCGCCAGTCTCTTGTTGATGAGTTTAACTCATGTCCAAGCAAACAAGTATTATTTCAAGTTACCTTGATCTCTAGCAGGGTTTTTAATTTGAATCTTCATATCATTTTGATTCTTTCTTTTGGTTTCAGGTGTTCCTTATATCAACCCGAGCTGGTGGGCTTGGATTGAATCTTGTAAGTGCTAATCGCGTGGTTATATTTGATCCAAATTGGAACCCTGCCCAAGATTTACAGGCCCAGGACAGATCATTTCGTTTTGGACAGAGGCGGCATGTTGTAGTTTTCCGCCTTCTTGCAGCTGGTTCCCTTGAGGAACTTGTATATTCACGTCAGGTGTATAAGCAGCAGCTATCAAACATTGCCGTCTCTGGAAAAATGGAAAAAAGATACTTTGAAGGTGTGCAGGTATAGATATGGAATTTTTTTATTTGTGGCTTAACTACTCTCTTAGTAATCTGATTATGTTTTAGATGCCTGTACATTGATGCAACTTAACTCATCAACAAGATCCATTTGATAAACTAAGTGAAGAATCTACTGAACTTGTGGGTGTATTTTAGATGTGGAATGGTCTCAGTCATCCTTTCTGAGTTCGAGTTTTCTGCATTCCATGATCCGTCTTCCATATTGTTTTCAGGACTGTAAGGAATTTCAAGGCGAGCTTTTTGGAATCTGCAATCTGTTTCGTGATCTTTCAGATAAAGTTTTCACTAGTGAAATTCTTGAATTACATGAAAAGCAATGGGAGCACCATACCGATAAGCATGAATCGATCAATCTAGGGGTCCTTCCAACTCCATTGGAAGGAAGTGAAACATTGTCATCAGTGTCCAAGAATTTGCATCCTAGGACCATAGAGAGTGCTGCTGCTGGTAAACCAGTCCTTGAAGACTTGGGTATGTTTCTTTTACTATTATGTTTCCTGCTCCTTTATATGTGTTTACATTTAGTCAATGGCCTGATCTTCCATTCATTTTTGATCATTTCAATTCTTTTTATTTTTTTCTCATGGAAATGAGACAAAAGTAAAGCTGGTTATAATCGGTTTTTATTTCGAGTTAATACGCAATTTGATGCTGTGTTCTGTTGTGTTGTTTTTACAAGCCAATGGATATAATGTGCTTAACATATGTTCACTCCAAAGATGCTACATGATTGACCAGTTACCATTTTAAATGCATGTCCTATATTTTCCTCGATTAGGGAAATAAAAATCGGTGCTCTAACTCTTTTATCTTCAGGTATCTTGTATGCCCATCGTAACGAAGATATTGTCAACAATAGACCTGGGATACACCAGAAAATAGTACTCATTACTAATGACAATAACCCGAGAATAGATGCAAATGCTTCACGGAAACGGAAAACATATGGGGAGGAAAAAGCTGCCTCAAGTAGAGGCAAGAAAAAGATTCAATACGGTGGCCTGGCGCAGATCAAGGGCATGAGACTGGTTGAGTTCAGTAAGTGGGTACTCTCTGCTACAGCTTCGGAGAGGGAGAGTTTGCTTCAGGACTACAAAAGAAGAAAAAAAGAGACATCAAATGGTTGAAACAGAGTGTTGGCAAGCACAATCATGAACTTGTAAATAAACAGATTGTCGATAGTCTTCATTTCTTTTAGCCCTTCTTTTAGTGATAGGTCTAAGTAGTTTTATGTAGTAAATTCAAAAGGTTTTCGAATGTGATCCCGGTTTAGGCTTTAACATTTAGTTCATGTAGCCAGCCTTTAGTGGTGATATCTAACATAAGTTTAGGACTGAATCTCAAACCTTGCATTGTCTTTGTACCAAAATAAACAAGTTTTCACTTTTCACAATGTACAATACAAATTGACTGTAGGGCGTTGCTCAGATGGAGAGGCACAAGAATTTATATGTGTACTTTTTGAATACTTTCCCATGTAATATTTAACATCATTTGTTCCTTTTTGCATTTTTGTTTCCTTTCCATTGTCATTGTTTCAAGATGCAAGAACTGTGAAAAGTATTTAGAGTCCATGGTTGTTAGAACGTTTTAACTTTTAGTTCAGTGATTACGAAAGATCTTAATTACATAAAATCTGAATTAATCAGTCAATGAATTGTGAATTGGATCGCAATCATATTACCAAAAAATTCATATCGAGGATCTCTATCATATCCCCGTAACCAAAATCCAACAGTTTAAAGGAAAAACAGACACCAACAAATAACAATCACGATATGAAAATGGAGTTCATATACTGCAGAATCAAGCATGTATTCGAAGAAAAGCACTGTTTAGTTATTCTCAAATCCCAAAAAAAAAGCACAAGGTCCTGGAACTAAATACATGTAACACTCAAAGCTAAAGTATATTTTTCGTCACCAACTTCACTTTAAACCCCTAATTACTAGGAACAATGAAAAGCATTATGTCCTTCCAAAACTATTCGAATTTGGCTGCAGTATCACCTTTCGCTGTTGTTTGATATCATTAGCCGCCGCCACCAGATCCGTATTTCTTGCCCAAGAAAATGACTTGCAGCTTGTCATAGCCAGCAAGCACACCAGCACCCGCAACGGCACGGAGAATGTTTGCACCAGCACCCTTGAACAGTGATTTTGTACCTTCATTCTTGATGATTTGGGAGAATGCATCCAACGAGCTCTTGTATTTGACTGCTTCTCCAGAGGTCATCATCATTCTTCTACGTACTGTATCAATTGGATAAGATGCCAGTCCCGCACCTATCGTGATACCCCAACCCAGAAAGAAACTTGCCAAGAAACTATCCTGTGAATACCAAATGCACACAGAATCAGGCATGTTTCAACCGATAAACTCCAGGTAATGTTGCTGTTTAGACATGGTTACGAGGGCAAGGAAACAGATACATACCTGCAATCCACCAACCAATACAACAGGCTTCAGTGAATCGTACATTCCAAAGTAGAGCCCACGGTAGACAATGATACCAACACATGAGATATTGAATCCACGGTAAAGACCCGCGATACCATCAGATTGGATGGTTTTCTTATAGACATCAACTAAACCATTAAACTGCCTCTGACCACCCTTCTTAGCAGCCTTATTATCATTAGCCAAACGGGTACGAGCATAATCCAGAGAGTAAACAAAAAGAAGGGAAGAAGCACCAGCAGCACCACCAGATGCCAAGTTCCCAGCAAACCATTTCCAGTAGCCATCTTTGTCCTTCTTAAAGTTGAACATCCTCTTGAAATAATCCTTGAAGGCAAAGTTCAGAGCCTGGCACATATAACTGAGTTAAGCTACAAGCAGGAAAAAATAAAATGAGGAAAAGAGAATAAAACAGAAGAAAAGTTTGTCCTTTGACCAGATTGACATATTAAATACTACATCAAACATATAATCGGTGTTGCCAAGAGTACAAGGTGCACTTCAAGCATTAGAACCCTTCTATTACTTAAGGAACAAGACAAAAAAAGATGATAGCCCGAGTAAAATAAGGCCAAGTAACAACACTGTATGTTACATGTACATCAAAAGACTCAATTTTTGGGGTGTTTGTTTCTGCTTCTTTCCCAAGAAGAGGTCTGCTAAGATAGCAGATAGCACAGGGATATAACAGACAAACTTGGTTAGTAAAAAAAACAAAAATACAAAATCACTTTAATAGGGATGGCAGAAAAGTAATGGAAAGCAATTAAAAACAAATGAAAAGAAAAGTAACCTGGGTGGGGAAGTATCTGAGAACATTAGCAGTGTTGCCTCTCCAGAGGGCAAGAACACCTTCATCCTTCATGGTCCTTGCAAAGCAGTCAGTAATTCCCTTGTATGGTTCAGACAACCTCCCGGATTTGATCATTTCATCCTGATTTTGGATTAGAAGCTTAACTCGCTCGATAGGAGCAGCTGCTGTCTTGGAAACAGCAGCAGAAACTCCTCCCATGAGGAAATCCACCATAAAACCGGAAAAACCTTTCTCAGCGGGAGCATATACAAATACTGGAGAAACAGGGGACACATATGCCAACCCAGTGGCTTGACGTGATGGCTGTAAAGCAACATGAATTCCTCCACTCGTCACATTATAATTACTGGCAGGCAAGTTAGGAGAAAGCATGGAAATCAAATAGGACTGCCCATTGACTGTTTGAAACAGTGATGGACGACGCTTTGATCCATCTGCCATGCTTACAGCTCAAGATAGTGAATGACCTGCAAGTAAACAGAAGTAGGGGGGAAATGAAAAAAAAAACATTAACGAGAACAACAAAACGAGGTAAGAATGGGCTTTTAGTCTAAATATGAGAGACAAACTCAAGCCTTAAAAAGAAATTTTTACAGACTAATGGGATGAAATTAAGAGAAACCCCAGAATTACATCAACACCGGATCATCCTAATTTTGCAAGCGAAATTTAAAGATTTTCCACATAATTCAAAATTATCCCACATATTTCCATATACAAACATGAACATGGTAAAATATACGACAGATCTGCAATTTACAAGAACTAGTAAAGTAAGAATCCGATCACCATTACTTAAAACTAAAGCACGGCATACCGAAATATCAATACAGAGTAATATACAGTTCTTTTTGGCAGCTACAAATGAAACTATGAGAAGAATAACAAAGCTAATTTGAACCACGCCGCAAAGAAGCAGCAATGACTTTTTAATTCAATTTCTAAGCACGGAAACAACATGAAATAAAGATGAAGACGAAACGTAACCTGAAAGGTCGACGAGGAAGCTGTTTGACTACTTCAAGGGGCGAGTCAATTTATATGTCCGGATTTAGGTTTAAGGTTTTGCTTCTGCATCATAATGACGGATTTGACCTCGCTTCGCTGTTTGAATTGTGCTTGTGCCATCACTGGCACTGAGGCATTGACCTATGAGTAATGACGGTCCACAGGTCTCCTTCAAATTTGTTTCATATTCATAGTTGGAGGTCTGGACTTAAGCCCCCAAAACTAAATATGTTATATAGAATTTTATATATTCTCGTATAATATTATAATTTATCGTCGATTAAATAAAATTCCACTTCATAATTTGTAATTAAAAAAATCTCATGAAAATTAATATATATTTATTATTATTATCATTTGATTGTTTATTCGTTATTTTCTATAATTAATATGTAGTTTAGTTGAGGTAGAAATATAATTATACTTATTTGATCATTACCAAGACAATTAATTTGAATCATTATAGCTTATAAGTATAATTAAACATTAGAGAATATAGTTATAAGTATAGCCACCATTTGGGACATTTTGTGTATGTGATAAGCATGATAAGGAGGACACATAGGGCACAAGTCCATATGTGTCCGTGGGGTCAAGGTAATGATTCCATTGAAATTAAAGACGCCAATTCTGCAAATTGGCATTGTTGATCAAGTAGGGACTTGCTTGCCCACAGCTGATGAATCCTGTTTGATATCTGACATGGTCATCCCTGCAAAATGTATCACTTGCCAAACTCAACTGTACATTTACATAACCTCCTAGGGCTTGCCCGTGACCATGGATTGAATTGGGATAAAACTTTCATAGGCTAATATGATGTTATATATACGTTAATTATTATTAATAATTAAAGATTAATTATATTAATCAAAAGATTTACTTAATATATTTTTAACGTAAATGAAATTAGAAGGGGCTGAATTTTCTTAGTTTAATACCAAGAGGAGTTAAAATGTAATTTAAATTAAATGAAGTTGGGGCATAGGCCCCTCCTAATATACACCTTCTCTATGACCTAACTATGTTATCCGGGAACCATCCTCAAATTATATCAAGATCCACTTTAGGGTTTTTATATCACATTCTTCAAATCTAAGTATGCATTGAAGTCTCATAATTTGTAACAAAATTCGTTATATTATTTTTTAAAAATTAAATTATTTAAATTAGTCGAGTTGATTTAAAGTTTTCAATCATATTTTAATCTTAAAATTATAACTTTATTATAATAAAAAATTAAAACGATATCACTTTGAATTTTTAGCCGGTTTATTTGATTGTTTTGTGAATCAGTCCATAATTTGATTGTTTCTTCGATTCCTCCTTCGTTTGGCGTTTATGTTTTTGACCAAATTTAAACCACGTACTCCTCACCACTTTATAATATTTATATAGCTTCAATTATTATTTCCGACAATAAATTCTCTAATTTTCAATTGAATTTCTTAATTTTGTATAATTTCTTTGTTTCTTCGATTTCTTCTCAGTTTGAAGTCAATTTTGATCAAACTAGAATCACATGTCTCTCTGTCACTGTAAAAACCATATGTAACTACATTTTTTCTTTATGACAACAAAATTATATTTTAAAATTTTAATCCTCAATTTTACATTTTATTCAATATAGTCCCATTGTAACTATTTATAAATTATTTATTCCCACTAATTTCTTGACTAATTTTCACTGCCATCAATACTTTTTTTTTCAAAATCCCTTCTTTTAAAAATAATATTAAAAATATATTATATGACATGTGATTTATTAATTAACATTACTAATATTATTTACACACGTGAGAAAAAAAATGAAGGAATATATATGTATATAATATATGATTAGAGGTAATGTTTAAACTGAAACCAAATAATACTATGATATTATAAATAATTATATTTAAATCTGAACAAAAACACAAATAATATATTTAATTAATTTAAATTTTACAAGCTCGATTCAACTTAATTTTTTAAATAAAATCTAAATAATAAAATAATTTTTGTAAAATTTTAAAAAATTATACTTTGAATAAAAGTTGCGGAAGCTTATGTGAAAACTGAAAATGGGGGTTATGAGCATATAAGCTCATTACTTAAGGATGGAATACAAAATTAGTAACTTTTTTAAATAATTTTTATTTTTATCAATAATTATTATTTTTTCAAATAAATAATTATTTTTAAATATTTATTTACATTTTTTTTTTACTTTTCACCTGTATAATGGGTGTAACATGACCGTGAGACGACTAGTATGTATATATAATACATTAAAATTTTTATCATAGTTTTTTAAAAGTAACCATAAATATTCATTTGTAATATAAAATTGATTACAGAAGCCTTGGTTAAATATAAAAATATAATTATACAGTAATTAATATAAATAATTTATTTATAAAATGCATACACTGTTGAGAAGTAAAAAAGATAGAGGCACAGAAGGCCGCCCACCGAACCAGCATGTGCTCATTTAGCAGCAGATGAATCTGATCTCTTCTTAATTAATTAATTAATTAAATGAATTAAAATGTAAAAATTATCAAAGAGAAAGAAAGAAAAAACCCTCTCCTCAGCTATTTCTTTTAGTTTATTCTTTGTATCGACCCATACAGGAGAGAAGGAAAAAAAGAAGTGAGAGTAATCTCTGGGTCGTCGTCGTCCCTCCTCGGCAGGGTGTTTTTGGTAAACAAAATAATAATAAAGGATTCACACAATCGGCGGACCTACAGTCATCAATGCCAGCCCAGAAGCGGTCATTGCCGGAGAATCTCGACGATGAAGAAGACTCCTGGAGATGGAGAAGACGAAGATGGTGACGTCCTTTTCTCTTTTTTCATACTTATGTTTCCGTATATAGCTCGATGCATAGGTGTAAACACATGTTTGAAGTTGATTTCGATTCTTGGGCTTTCTTTTTTGTTCTCAGATTCTGATGGGAGCCAATCTTCTACTTCTCAAGAGAAACCCGAGTACTCTTTTCCATCTCTTTCTCTGTCCATCATTTATATTTCTTAATCTATTTTAGCTTCACGATTAGCTTTCGCTCTACTTTTATGAGTTGGGTTTGCTGCGATTTCATTTCTTTACGACGAGCATTCTTCTTTCTTTTCGATGTTTTAGCTGCTGGAGAGAAAAGGATTTGAGTTTTACTTGTTGGGATTTGCCTTATTTGCTATATGACATTGCGTTTCTGTGATATGTTTCCTCATCGTTTAATCGATTTGCATTTTGCATGTCAACGATCTGTGTGCTGTATATGCTCGTAACCACATAAGGCTGGGAAATTCTGACATCCGTTCATATTATATTCTTTATCCCTCCCGGGTTCTTGTTAGTCCAGTAAAACACTTAGAGCACTCTTTACCAACTTGTAAAATACTAGCTTGAAAACACGTCCTACTATATTATTTCACTGTTCAAAATGTGCATGATTTGTCTATAAACGCATTTTGTTTTGATTCTGTGTTCTTTTTCTTCCCCACCTTGCGTTTTTCTGAATCCCATTATGCATCTGGGTTCAACTCTAGAGAATCTAATAAAACCTTAATGAGTCAGTGTCACTAGGATAGCTTTGTTAAGCTTTCAGTCAAAGAGTCTATGTATTGGGACTAGGGAGGTGACTGTGCCTAGGCTTTTGAACTGTTATTTCTTCAAAGAGTATTTACCCGAGTAAAATACACTGGAGCTGGCGGGTCTGTGAACAAGAATGAAAGTAAGAGCCGAGGCAGGCTAGTGAGGTTTAAAAAGTGCAGCTTTTCATCGTCTATTCTAGTCTTTGGAGGAAACAATGCTTGGGAAATGGGAACTAGCTATCATGGAGTATGTTATTGTGGAATCTCGTTCATAAACCATAACATTTGGGTCACTCTTTTGGTATGGAAACATGTCAGGATTCTCATACTGAGTTGGTTTGGGCTTGGTTCTATTTCTCTCTTACCCTCTCTCTTTATATATATATATATGTATTGATGCTCTCAATCTGGCGTTGGGGGCAGCCTACTATCCTACCTCCCCTTACCCCATTACACATGGGAATAGGGTCAGCTAAAAAATATATATATATTGCTAGATTTACTAAAAAGTAACAGCTTAATTTTTTTTTCCTCGGTCATTCTTAGTATGTGATAATAAAGTATTAGTTGACACTTTGTGTTCTGATATTTACATTGATGAAAACAACAAATCTATCTTTCTACTGACATGCTTGCTGGGATATTTATGCATATGGTTTATAATGTTGCTTTAATCTATAAATGACATGATAGAAAGTTCTATTTACATTTTTATGTTCGAATTCCAGATATGTCTTCGTAGAGCTTCCAGAAATTCGTAAAGATGTTCAATGCCCAATTTGTTTAGGTAATACTTCAATATGCTACCAATTATATACTTTGCTCCTATAATTTCTGTTGAATATCTGTTATTAGGAGTTTAGATATATGAATCAGTGGTCGTAATATACTATTATGATTTATGAACATCTCCTTTTTGGTTACATACTATGTGGAGGTCAACCCATCACCTTCTCTTTATTATGAGTATATATTGTTGATTAAATTTTATCTTTGGAAAATCATATGAACCATTACAAGAGGAAAATCAAGTGTCATATGTTTACTGTTTAGTGCATATATTAACACTATTAGTTGATAAAGTATGTCTTATTTTTTCCTGACATATAAGTAGAACATAGTGCTTTCTTTCATAAATGTTCTAAGGTTATGCAGAAAATTTTCCGATTGCAGTTTTAGTTATAGTGTCTGAAATTGATATCTTCTTTAGCTGGTTTTGTACAAATTAAATGTCGTCTCCCTCTTTCTAGCTTGTGCTGAAGTTATAACTTATGATCAGGTTTGTCGTATAGAAAATGAATTGTCACTTGTCAATACAAAAGAACTGTTAATATGAGTGTGTTCTATAAAGGAATATAAAGTTTAATTTTACATAACCAACTTTCTAAGCATACTTTTTTTAGTTTGATTTCCAAATGGTAGATCCTATCAGGCCCTTTTATTACAACATCTTTTGTGGATATTCTACTTTGTGTAATGTCCATTTTGTTTTGTCATGACAATTGCTCAAGTTGAAAAGTTATCTTCACTGTTGTGCTTAATGGTGTTAGAAGATTTAGTATATAAAATCATAAATTTAATAAAAACTTATGATTGCACTAGGACCCATAAATAATAAGGAAAACCAAGGAGAGTTGTATATCTGGCTGCTCCTTGAAAGATCTAAAGTTGAGAAGATGGTATATCTGGCTTTTATTAAAGTTGTTTTGTGTTGTGGTGTCTTTCGGGCCAAGCTTAGGTTTTAACTGTGATCAGTCTTTTTTGAGGTTGTTGATCTAGCTAAGGTGGATTAGGCAGAGTTTATGCTGTTTTTTAGGGTTATTTTCGATTGTTTTTGGTGTTCTGTTTATGTTGGGGTGGATTTCTGGTTGTATCTTGTAATTTCTTTTGTTTCAATGAAATCCTAAGGCACTCTTTTCCTCCTTCCGATGACTAAGGAGTTTGTCTTTAAAACTCCTTTAATCAAGAAGGGGGTTTTTAACGAGGCCTTCAATTCCTATAAAAAAAAAGATGGGAAAAAGGATAATCAAAGATTGTTGATTTTGTGATGTTTGAATTTTACAACTCTTTGATGGCCAATTTTCTTTGAGGAGATTCTGAGGAGAAGAAACGGATTCATTGGGTGAAATGGAGTACAGTTTGGCGGCCTTTAAATCATGGTGGGCTTGGAGTTCTGGATCTAAATCTTACCAATCGGGCTCTAGTAGGAAAATGGGTGTGGTAGTTTGCCAATGAGAAGGATTCGTTATGGAAAAAAATGTTGTGCAGTAAGCATAAGGTCAGTTGCAACTCCATGTCTATTTCAAAGGTTTTTTCTCCTCAGGCATCATGGATTTTGAGAGGTATTGCTAATAACTACCTGAAGAATGATTCAGAGGGAGAGTGCCTAAGATCGAATTCAAAGTTGCAAGTGGGTAATGGTAAGTCCATCTTTTTTGGACGGATGTTTGGATTAATGACACTCCTCTCAAAAATCTGTTTACTAGGATTTTTGCTCTTTCTTCTAATAAATGGGGTAAGGTAACTGAGTTCGGTAGTTTTGAGTCCAATGGTTGGGTGTGGAACATACAAACTTGGAGAAATTTGTGTGATTGGAAATTGGACCAATGGGTGGATTTGTTGTTTAAATTGAATAGCATAAATTTGACCAATTCAATGGAAGATTACCTATCTTGGTCTGCAAGTGGTGATGGATTGTTCTCGGTTAAATCTTGCAGAAGAACCCTTAATGAGTCCTTTGGGAATAATTTGTTTGAGGAAGAAATGGGTGTGGTTGGGTCTAGCTCCTCCTCGTGTTGAATCTTTCGTTTGGCAGTTATCTCATCAGAAAGTGGCAGTCAAAGTAGAGTTGGTTAAGAGGGTGGTGCCCATTGGTGAAGATATTCTCTGTTCTCTTTGTAGATAACATGAGGAATCAGTGCAACATCTTTTTATTTCATGTTCTGTCGCTTGGGAACTCTGGAATAAGATTATCAATTTTTGGGATTTATCTGTAGTTTTGTTAAAGGATCCTCCTTCTCTCCTTAGCTCATGGTCCGAATTGAGGGTGCATTCGATGATTTGGAAGTTTATTCCGGGTGTTGTTTTTTGGTCCATTTGGAAAGTTAGGAATGCAATTGTTTTTTATAGAGCCTCTCTGTACATGATATCTCTTTTCTTCATTGTTAGATTTAGGTTATCTAAGTGGTTTCTAGCCAAGTGTCCTCAAGTTCTTATCCAGGAGGATGTGCTGATTGGAGATCATTCCCTCGCAGATAGTGTCTCTGTTCCTAAATCTAAGAGTTGTCTTGTGCTTTGCTGGCCTCCACGGGATTTTCTTAAGATGAATGTTGATGGAACTGTAAGGCTTGATGGGTTGGTCGGAGGTATAGGTGGTATTTTAAGAGATTGGAATTGTTGTACTCTAATGACTTTTTCGGAAAGTATTGGTCAAGGGCCCCCTCCAGTTGCTGAATTAAAACCTATTAAAATAGACATTGAAATCCTTCTTTCTTTACTTTGGGTTTCTGTTGGTAGGTTGATTGTTGAAAGTGATTGTAAGTCTACAGTGGAGTGGATTCAGTCTCTGTCTCCGGCTCTTGTCTTCTTTAACTCTTTAGTTAAGGAGATTTTGTCTCTTTTTTCTGATAAGGTGTCTTTTTTTTATAAGAATGCTAGGCCTCGTTAAAAACCCCCTTCTTGATTAATGGATCTTGTAGGAAAGCTCTTTAATCAGCGGAAGGGGGAAAAGAGTGCCTATATATTATTCGTCATAAAGAATTACAACGAAAACAACAATAATAATCCCCTTACAAAACATAGAAAACCAAGAAACAACCCTAGGCAGCCATAAACAACAACACTAACTCAGCCTATGCCTTCTTTAGCTAAGGCATCAGCCTCTAAATTGGTTGTCCTATTAACCCATCTAACAACACCTTCAAAGGCATTAAGCCTATGAACAATATCTTTAATCAAGAAGGCATACACAACAGGGACATAACTCAACCCCCTTAATCCAATCCACAACCACCTTACTGTCACTCTCAATAATCAAACGGTCTTTGATCCTCTCTCGATAATTAGCATAGAAAGACAACCCCATAAGAATAGCCTTTAACTCCATCAAAGTAGAAGGTCCCGGACCAACTGGTTCCTTGAAATAGCCTAAAGTAGAACTTGAGGAATCTTTTAAAACTCCTCCTAACCCGCTTTTCTTCCAATCCCTTGTAGTGGCAGCATCAACATTTAATTTAACAAAACCCATAGGAGGAGGAAACCAAGGTAAACTAGCTGCAATCTGATTAGAGTGGAGAGAAACAGAGTCCCCTAGAGAAGGATCGGAAATGAGTGAGTCCTTAGGAATAGACACTTCTTTATACTTTGCTAAGAACCAAGAAGCAAGCCTAAACCTTGCTAAAAAGAAGTATTCTGCCTTATCAAACTTTCCCCCTTCAAACACAACAAAATTCCTTATTTTCCAAGTGGTCCAAAGAACGACCCCTGGAATAAAAGGCCAAATCGAAGAGTTTGACTTCAAACCATCCCAAGCTAGAAAAAAGCTTTTAGCATCCGCTGGAAAAACCGAACAAATCCTCCAAAAATTTAATAACTTATTCCGAAGAGACCACACCACCGGACAAGATAAAAACAAACAAATGAGAGGGAGACTCGTCCGACATCTTGCATAGGGGACATAACACATCTTCAATTCCTTGAACTCCTCTTTTGACAAGTTCAGTCCTAACAACCAGCTTCCCATTAACAATCTGCCAAAGAAAACACTCTACTCTTGGAGGCAGTAAACCTCTCCAAATAATCTTCTTCCAGAAAAAGACCTCCTCCGATCCCAAAGTCTCCGATGAACATAGATTAACAACTGATCTATCAGTAAAAACCCCATCCCCAGTTCCTTTCCAAATCAAACGATCAGAAAATTCCGATGAGAGTGAAAAGTTTGTAATGATAGCCAACAAGTTAGACCATGGTTCAAGTTCTCAGTCATTAAGATTTCTTCTAAACTTCACATCCCAAGTCCAAACGAAAGAGATATACTCCCCAAATTCAGATAATTTCCCAAACTTATTTATGGAAATAGAAAATAGTCTTGGGAAAATGACATAAAGTGGATGATCCAATGCCCAAATATCTTGCCAAAACTGAATAACTTTACCATCACCAACATGAAAACTACACATGCTTCTAAATTTAGTGCCAAAGAAGTCTTCTTTAAAATAATTATTTAGCACTGGTCTCCAAATCCAGGATACCTTAGGTGGAATTTTACTGTCAAGAATTAAAACTGAAGAATCCAGTCTATATTTGGCACAAACAACTTCCCTCCAAATTAAATCCCTATCATTGGCAAACCTCCAAGTCCATTTCCCCAAAAGTGCTCTATTCATCAAGTTTAGATTAAGAACTCCTAAACCCCCTTCACTCTTCGACTTGCTAACATTGGACCAGCTAACCTAGTGAATTTTTCTAGTGCCATTTCCCCTCCCCATAGGAAATTGGACATAATAGAGTTAAGGGTTTTAAGAACCGAAGCTGGAATTTTAAACATGGATAGATAATATGTAGGAAGCGAGTAAAGAACCGCCTTAATCAACACCAGTCTTCATGCTAAAGAAAAAGAGGTTGCCTTCCACCCGGTTAGCTTGTTAAAAAAATTATTGATGACAAGATCCCAAATAGCTGCAGAATTTCTACTAGCACCAAGGGGAAGCCCTAGATATTCAGAAGGAACCCCTTCACTCTTCGACTTGCTAACATTGACCAGCTAACCTAGTGAATTTTTCTAGTGCCATTTCCCCTCCCCATAGAAATTGGACATAATAAGTTAATGTTTTAAGAACCGAAGCTGGAATTTTAAACATGGATAATAATAGTGGAAGCGAGTAAAGAACCGCCTTAATCAACACCATCTTCATGCTAAAGAAAAAGAGGTTGCCTTCCACCCGGTTAGCTTGTTAAAAAATTATTGATGACAAGATCCCAAATAGCTGCAGAATTTCTACTAGCACCAAGGGGAAGCCCTAGATATTCAGAAGGAAATCTGCCAATTGAACATCCAATAGTAGTAGCCCATTCCAGCAGTTCCTCCTCATTAACATTAACACCAATAATTACTCTTCTTCAAATTCAGCTGTAAACCAGAAATCACTTGAAAAACTCGAAGCACCCTTTTGACATTCAAAATTTGCATTTTCGAAGCACCAGAAAATATAATTAAATGATCAACAAACTGTAAATGGGACACATTTACAGACCCCTGTTCCCTGCCAATCACCATTCCAGAAAATAAGCCCTGTGACACAACCCTTCGAATCAGCAGATTAAGTAGCTCCCCTACTAAGTTAAACAACAAAGGAGACAGAGAACAACCCTGTCGAAGACCTTTAGTCATTGAGAATTCCAAGGTCTTGTAATTGTGAGGCAGATAGTTTAGCAAAGGAAGGGATTAGGTGAATGTAAGGTTCTGGTTTTAGGCGTTTTATTCGTTTTTGTAGTTTCTGTTTTCTGGTGTAATTGTTAAGTCTTATGTAATGCTGTTATATTAATAAATTAAGGCACTCTTTTCCTCCTTCCACTGGTTGGTTCTTTCTTTCGGGAAATGAACCACTATGAGGGAGGTTTTTAATGAGGCCTCCTATTTCTATCAAAAAATAAATATATGCAGATAAGTTAGATCATGTGAGCATGTGTTAGTAAAATGCTTATCATTTAGGGGAATTTACACAATATGTAAATTCTAGCCGAGAAGGTGCAATATGTCGGTAAACAGATTTTAGTTAAATTTATATAAATTTTTTTTTTGATAGGAATAGGAAGCCTCGTTAAAATTATATAAATGTACTAGCATTAATGCTAATACATTGAATGGAATGTGTTGCTTTTACTTTTTCATGGAGACACATACTGGATAAAAGTCATTTGCTATGTTTGATTGCATCAGGTAATGTTATGCTTGTTGGTTTTTTAATCTTTCTTGCCCTGGTGCCTTGTGGTCAGCATTAATGCTGTTGGTTTATTTCTTGATATCTTTTTTATTGTGCATTTCATTGTCAGTTAGCACTAGCATTTATTGCTTTCTGTGTACAGGAATCATAAAGAAAACAAGAACTGTAATGGAATGCCTACACCGTTTTTGCAGAGAATGCATTGACAAATCAATGCGTCTGGGGTATGTTACAAGTGGATTGCTACTAACTTGCCTCTGTTGGGGTTAATTTTGTAAATGTATGGAATTTCTTGATTCTGATTGTAGGAACAATGAGTGTCCTGCTTGTCGTACGCATTGTGCTAGTCGACGTTCTCTAAGAGATGATCCAAACTATGATGCCTTAATTGCAGCTTTATATCCAGACATTGATAAGTACGAAGAACAGGTAAAAGTTCTTTCCTTTCTCCTCTTTATATTTTTTCAATCCATGATGCTATTATGAAAGTTCTTACGGTATGATCTGGCTAATCAATGCTGATTTTCTGCATTTGGTCTCTCAGGAATTGGCTTTTCATGAAGAGGAAAGGACTCGCAATAAACAGGTGTATATATGCGTATATATGTATAGTTTTTGTTACTGCATGCATTTATTTCTCTCTGCTGTACTTGCTCATTGTTAATGTGGTGATTTTTGTTCATTTGCCTGGCTTATAACATGCAACCTGACTCATTTCATGGTTACTTGTATCAAGTGTTATTTCTGCATTTATTTCAATCGATGTTACTCCTTTCGTCTTTGTGACTTCGGTGCGATCGATAACTAAAATGGAAGAACTCTATTTCTCATTTCATAGATGTGAGGTGGTAAAACTTGCCGTAAACCTGTCTTAAATGATTGCTTGGTATTCCCTATCCAATTCTCTGTTCTAAGAATACCATTGGACCATGTTATAAGTTCAAGACCTTAACACATTTTTTGTTCTTACCGATAGTTGTTTCTATATTTTGTATAGATCCAAGCATCAATAGCCCAAGTTTTGCAGAGACAATCAGAAGCACTTGTTAAACGGCGTAGTCATCCTCGGCGTAGTCATCCTCGTAGACGACGGAACTCCCTTGGAGCTGAGCATCAAGGATCTGAAGACAATGAGGATGAAAATGATGATAATGGAGGTAAAGATTCATCTTCCACAGATGAGCGATGTACAGAAGTGAGGCAGAGAAGACGCAAAAGACGGACTGGAATCCGGATGTCCCTACCTTCTTCATCAGTGGTAAATTCAGATGGTGGATATGTTGAAAATGATACAGAAGTGTCTAGAGACTGCAGGGGCATTTCTCCTGGGCTTGTCTGGAACCCGGATTTGCTTGCTTGGGGAAGAGGTGGTATTCGGAGTCACACTCGACATGGAAATTCTGGCAGCGGCAGTAGCAAGAGTTCACGTGCTCGCTTAAATAGATTGGTAGAGTATCTTAGGAGCTTGGAGGAAAATGATGATGAGGTACTAGCAGACTCCTTAATAATATGGTTTCTAATCCAATCTATCTCTGATATTAAGCTCAAATTATTAGTATAACTTTATGGTGGTTCTTATCTAATTTACGAGTTCCACTGGAGTTATATAGTAGGATTCTTCTCTCCATGCTCTCTGCCCTCCCGGCCCCCACCTTCCCCCCCCCCCCCCTTCTATTCCCCATTTGTATGCAGGCCCTCATTTTTGTGTAATTAAAGCCTATTCTTTGCATGCAGTTGGATGTTCATCTCAAGCTTATTTCGGTGGACAAAAACAGCACATCAAGTTTGCATCAACCCTACCTTTGTTGTCGGCCCAGCCTGTCAGTTAAGCAGCTATGCGAAGTGAGATTTCTTTCCCACCAGCTTAAACATAGAATGCCTCTTTATAAAGCTATGATTCAACATTCGGTCAAATGGGTATAATGCATTAAAATCGGTGATTTAGGTTTACCCAAATCCAGCCAGTCACCTTAATACGTAGCGTTTGGCTTATGTATCCCATATGGTTAAGTTTTGGGGTTGACTCTGATGCATAAACTCGTTGATTTTCTAACGGATATCCTATGCGTAAACTTTTATAGGATGATTGTCTAAAATCATAGTGATTGTTTGGTGCACAGTACATTGCTCTTCAGACACCATTGCGAGCTGAAGAAGTAGAAATATTAATGGTAAAGAGACCATACCGTACCGATGACAACTGTGCCAACCTCTCAGAGGATGCACTACAAGTCTTGGAAGGTCAAGAAACTTTGGGAGGGCTTAAGGTCAAGTGGAGTTCCGGAATGAATCAATTGGTGAGTACATTTCTTGGCATTTGACATCTCTATTTGTCTCGGAATATCCTTCGATATTATAATCTCAAATCAAGGGTCACAATCATGTTTTTGTTTCAGATACTAGCATATCGGAGGAGGCAAGGCAGCTAAAGCACGATTGCGTCATCATCGAAAACAATAGTTCTACAAGACAGGTTGTTGACAGTTCACTCTGATAACTTAAAACTCTAGTTTTGTATGTGTAGATACAATGGTTGGGCAGGTGTCTGGTGGTTTGATGAAACCATCGTTTGAGTTGGCTTCTAGGTAATGTAAAATTAGGACATTTGAGTTGGCATTTTCGAGGATGCTATCAATAACTCGACTGTTTGGCTTTTACTTGGTAGGTCTCGATGGAAAGGTGTTATAACATATATTATCTTTTTGTTCTTCAGAATAACATTTTACTTTTAATTATTTGTCTGTTTGGTAAATTTTTCTTCAAAATTTTTAATTATTAAAGCTTTTCAGTTGAATTTAAAACCGTTGCAATTTCATTTTTTAAAATGTGTCTTTTTTAATAATTTTAAAATGTTATATTATTGAACGAATTTAATAAAACAAATCTATTATGATATCCCGTAGGATAACGTTTTATTTTTGAATTTTAAAATATCATATCCGTAAAAGAATTTAACGTGTCAACAAAAATTTGGAACGTACCTTAAAAAACACTTTAAAATATCAAATAGATTATATCTTTAAATAAAAAAAATATTAATTGCTTACGTGTAGCTTTTACATAAGCAAATCGCTATCTTTGAACTTGTCTTAAACCTTAGTTTGCATTATTTATTGTTTCTCACGAAAATTTTAAAACAGAGAGGATGTACAAGATCTTCGGACTAGAGCGCTCTTCGTAATCCCGGTATCAAGTGTAGTAATGTTAACACGAAACCATAACGTCGATACTTGCAGTTTGTTGAAATGAATGCAGCATCATGTCAAAATGTAAATAATGTATTTAGGCTAAATTGGTCTACCTCAGTTGTCCTTGCAGTTCCTTGAATAGCTCGAAGACAGTCTAGATTGCGACTGAAAGAAATCGAAAGGAGTTCCTGAACCCATCGACTTTCTCGAAGAGTTTGGTGAATCCGATAGAAGAGGTTCATAAACCGGGCTTCTGCTCTTTGGTTGAGTAATCGACAAGGGAGAAACTTCTTTTTCAATAGATCTTGGTTGTGGCTCGATATTGCCTAGAGTTAGAATCGGCCCACCCATTCGTTCAGCCTGCTGAAGTGTATTGATTTTACTTGGTCTGTATGTATACCGGAAGTATTTCAAGGCTAGAACCGGACCCATCCCTGCTGCAACTATGAGCTGTTTTAAGATATGGGGAAAAAAAAACAACAAATCAGAATTCAAATATAAAAGCCATAATACTGATAAGCCGACAAGAGGTGGAAATAAACTCAGATAACCTAACTAATTAAACAGGAGAAAGAGAAAAGGAAATGAACCCCTCCTTTTAACATCTAAAGAAGCAAATTGAAGACAGAAGTGAGACTTACAAACATAGTTATCCAATAAGACGGTTGTCTACATAACCGAAACATGATAGTATACATCCCTGACGCAGGAATCGCGCTGATAATCCAATTAATTACATAGAAAGCAACTAAATTCCCCCATATGGCAAGATGTTGCAATATTGTGAAGGAACTGCAAGCACCAATTACAATTCAGCACATCAGGATATTTGAATCTATTAGTAGTAGGGATTTGGGGAAACCATTGTAAAAAAAATGGTTAGAGGTTATTTATCACGGGTTAAGATGCACGTTCTGTGGGGGTGCAGGCCATGGAATGACAATGACAAACTAATACAGTAATACTCCCCTTAACAGCACTTATGGAGCAATCATATTTGCATTGATTCTCAAGCAAGGATAAACTAAATCACATGCCATTTACCAAATCCTTTATAAGCTGGCCTAAAAGACCTTGTGGGAAGAAAAAAGGGAAAAGAAAACAGAAATTTAACATATTTACTGCATTCTACAGTTAAATGGAAGCATACTTTGTCTCCAATGCCACAACAAAAGCCTGCAACCATATACATCCAGAAAGTGCCACCATAGAAAGCTCTTCCATTTCACTTTTCTCGTAGGCATAGGCATGTATGGTGATCACAAACACAACAATTGCCTGCAAATCCCCTCAAATTGATGAGGCAATAAAGCTAATGAAGTTCCAATCACCAATGAAAATTTAACTACCTTCATGGATCATTACATGTTTTCAGATTTGTTTCAATTACTTCACGAGCAATATCAGTAAAGATTCTTTGATAAAGAAAAGCACTCACATGGAACAGAGATCGACCAAACCATCCAGCAAATGTACTTGGATTCAGAAGCCTGTGACAGAAACAATCCCGCATCAGTTAGATGAACATTAATCAGAAGTCTACGTAGTTGTATGCTAAAAGGATACAGCCAATTGTCCAGTTCCATATCCTAATCTTCAGATGGGGGGAGGGGGGAGAATCAACAAACCTTCCTGCTTGGCAGTAAAATAAAATTTGCGGATGCTGCATAACCGTTCCTTCACTAAGATCTTTGTCAAGGACACTGACCAGAACAGGAACACTAGTGTAGAAAACATTATAAGCCATCAAGCTGACAGAATTGAAAAGACTAGTTCCAGAAACTCCTGAAATAAAAGAGAAACTGATATGTTCTGGTGTCAGCAGAAAAGAAATAATAAGCAAGTCTAAGTGGGAATCAAGTAAGGTAAAAAGCAACAAAGGGAGGATTATATGTAGGAACTCACAAAATTTGGATGAAACATATAACTAGTGACTTATAGAAGGAATACTGGGATAGAAATGCCGTGCGATTATAGGAATAACGGCCATGAACAAGTATCAACCTTTTGAGAAACCTGAACTCTGCAACCAAGAGAGGTATTTAGGAAAAGATTAGTCTAGATTCATTACAACTTTCTTCATAATTTAATAACCGTCAAAAAGAGGACAAACAACAGGCAACCAGTCTGAAAGCTTTTCAATATATTTAAAGGTTACTTACTTCCAATACTATAATCAGCTGCCCTTGCAGCCTGCAGCCCTTCTCTTCCACTAATGCCAACACCAATATCGGCTTGTTGAATCATTCTCACATCATTTCCACCATCCCCAATAGCCAATGTTCTATAATCACACGATTTCAAGAGTTCGACAAGCTGCCAAAATTATCATTTCATTTACATTCAACAGTCAACACTTCCATATAAAAAAGTTAATAACTAACGAATATAATCTTTATAAATACCATTAATGAACCACAACTAAAATACTCAGCAGTTTAAATTAGTAAGGATAAGATTAACTCAGAAAAAAGTAAAATACAGCCTAATACTGTAAAAAATTCAATGAGATTAAACTATAAGAGAATTACAAAACTTCAGTACACAATATATGTACTTCTAACAAAGAGAGTTCAGAGCATGAACATTAGAAGCTGGTCTAGCTAAGATATATTAGGGAAATGATAATCCACACTACATAATGAGAAGTGATATAACTTAAAAAAAAAAAGCTACCAAAAAGATGTATCAAGACTCCCAAGTTTCATTGTCCTTTTCCCCTTTCCTTTTCTCTTTTCTTTTCCTTTTTCCAAATTTACATTTATATTAGTACTTGGAACTCTCAGTATGTATGAGGCAAAGCCATACCAGTGTTCACTCAATATTTTTTCTTAGAAGCAAGAAAATCAGAAGGTATAAATTCCCCTTGCTTCTTCATAGTAGTACCAGCCAATCCTCTATAGTCTGCAGAAAGATAGATTCAACAGTTCTTTCCTATTCTCCTCTCCATTCTGAGCATAGAGATATTATCCATACATAAAATGTTGGAAAAAGACATATCAATAGATTCATGCAAAACATTTATTCTGCCCTCACTAACGCTCCTGGATGTTCTTATCAATAGATACATGCAGCAAAATACAAGCAGCCTGTGATGTATCCCTTTTCATCTTCAATAATTAGCTTGTACATCAGGTTATAAAGCCATGAATGTTATTGGATGAAAGAAACGTGAAGACAAGGATCAAATTGCTGTCTATTATGAGTCAGCATAATACTCCTCTTCAAGTTTTAATCATATAGTGTATTTTGGTTTGAGGATTTTAGGGATTTTATTGATATATTTCTACTAGGAAAATTCCCTATAAAAAGTGGCAACACTTATTGTATGAAGGGCCATCAATGATTTTTAAAGTTCAGACAGTAACTTTTTTTAGTTCCAAATATCCTAGCATGGTTGTGGAGGTTAACAGCCTTAAGCGGGAAAATTATAGAAAATAGAAAAAAGTGAGCATGATAAATATTACTACGAATGAGAACATACTAAGAAAGTTCTGTAGTTGTAACTCAAGTTCAAAATATCAATCCAAAATATATTTAAAATTAATAACAAAATCAAAACCTGTGCTTTCTGGGATGGTGTAACACGACAACATATAGCAGTCCTTGACAAAATAGCTAATTCTGTAAAGACTTTCCTATAATGCTTAAGTGCAATTTCAAGAGCCCATCCATCAACAACAAATGCCACATCCTGCAATGAAATGGGAAAGTTAAAAATAGGGAAAAAGGCGATAGTGAATAAAACCTTTTGAGTTAAACATAGACAGAAAAACTTACCAAATAGTTCATTCTATGAGCATAGTAAAATAATCAAACCTTAAAGAAACAATAAAAAGGAATAAAGGTTCTTTACAGGGTTGTTTGGGGTACCATTCGTTACAATTATTGTAAGGTAGCATGAATTTCAATTAAATACTCCACCAAGAATGTGACGAATTAAATAAATATCATTACCATCAGACTAGTCAATAGACATAAGTCAACAATCCCCCATTTCATTTTTTTATAGAAATTATATATTCAGTTTTTGGTTTATGCATACATGAGTGAATAAGTGAATCTTGTGAGCCTCAGACATATTGTCCGATTCTAGTGAAAATAACTTTTGCAGCCACTTCAACAATTTAGTTTGTATAGAAGAACCGCTGAGCTTCATCCTATGATGATCTGATTAAGTTAACAAGGACCTGAGGTTTTCTGAAGGCAGTGGTATTTTTGGAGTGTCTTGAGTGTTAGGTGGCCCTCTATTTGTTTTCCAGAATCACAATTCAGTTTAGAACCAGAAAATTTCCCCTTAATCAAGTCATCAATTTACTCTTTTTAAACACTACAATTAACTGCAATTATGAAATTGCAAACACAAAAGAATAGCAGCCAGAAAGAAAAATAACATGATAACCCTAAACATAAATTTACAAAGATGGAGCAA